TTCTCAGTGCAGTGACTCTGGAGCCAAAGAACACACTCCGCTACTGCTCTTCTTTGTTGGTGCTACAACGATCCCTCCTTTGGTTTACTATTTTCCTAAATAGGAGCAATTCTAATGGCTTCCACTTGACTTTTCCTACTGTAATATCCCTGACTCTACGTGTAGGAGTACAACTTGTGGGTTCTGTGAGTTACTGAGTATGTCTATTCCAATTATTCAATCTTGAACTGGGGAAACCACAAGAGGGATTCAAGATTCCACTGTGAGATGAACCTGAGCTGACTCTATTAATCATCTGACTTCTGTACATGCCCATTCTGACTGATGGGCCACAGTGACTTTTTTTTTTTTCTTTATGTTTTTATTGTGGATTGAGTGAGAGTTTACAGGGCAGATCATCAGCTTTATGTTCAACACATCATACAACTTGTTTCATCAGCATGATTACAATCCCCCCCATGTACCATCAGTTAACAGTATTTTTCTCTATTCACTTCAGCTCTCTCTCTTTTTTTTTTTTAAACATGCAGGCATATATAATATTTTACACCACCAAAGGTCACATTCTGCAAGTCTGCCTCCTGGCCACTATTTCTTATGCCCTCTCTTCCCATGAACCTAGAATCCTCAGCCACTCACCCTCTCCATGTTCTCATCTCTGCCTCTATCTCTGGTATCACTGCTTCTCTGGATAAGGTCCTGCATTCTGCTTGTGCTCTTCTCCCTTGGTGGTCCTAGGGTCCTTTGTTTCTAGACTGTAAGATTAACTGCTCTCCCATTTTTGTTACAAAACTTCTACCTTTACAATTGTGACAGTCGCATTGAGTCATGATAACAATTACTCACTATTAAATCATAAGAATCTTATCCCCATCTCTTTTTTTTTTTACTTTTTAGGGGAAGAGCGCGAACGCAGTCCCCCACTACCACAAATTATGCAGTCGAGTTTCCCACATTTGATCCCTATCTCTTTTAACCAGACCCATCTAGACAAGACGAAAACTGTTCAGTGGGAACTCTTTCTTCCCACACACACTCTTAAATTAACTCCCTCTTGAAACCTTGTAAGCCAGTCAGTTCGTGCCTTTATTTCCCCTTCATTTTAGGTAGCCAGTGTCTAACTTGCCCATCCCTACCTATCCTGTGTACAGAGGGGATAGCATTGATACTTGATGTGAAGACTCCTTCCCTCTCTGTTGGTATTTAGAGTTACTACCTCCACGAGTATAGATCAGGTTCATCAAATTGTAGCAATTTACCCATTTCCTTTATCAAAAATTGTTTTTTGTTGTTTGTTTGTTTTTTATCTTCTTCTAGTCAAGTTCTGATTATCAAGCCATCAAAGCTAGGTCAAATGGGTACTATCGGCAAGTTTGGATATTCTTGCGCATTTCCCCTCACTTCATATCAGCTAGATGCTTCACTCTCAGCTCTAGCCCTCTGTGGCTATGTCCTTGTCCATGGGCTCAGGTGTCCCCAGGTTTTACCACACTTTGGACCAACCAGCCCTTCCTCTTCTCTCTCATCTCCAGGTCAACGGGCATCAACATGATTGAACTCAGTCCATTTTTTCATTGCTGCCTTTCTCCCTCTTCCACTCACCAGTAGACCAATGTGGTTGCCAGCAAGCTTACATGCCTGCTCATGTGTTCCCTTTGAGTTTCAGACTTAGAGGGGAGTTTGTCCTGAAAAACTTGATTGCTTGCCTTGATGGCTTCCTGGTGAACAGCTTGCTTATTCTTGCAATAGCCAGTCATATTGCCATTTTTGTTTTGGGTTTTTCCTGATGATCTTTCTTTGAAGATGTACCTTCTGTCACTCTAGCTGTTCCAGGCTGGTCTGCTTGTCCTTTCTAGTGGAATCCACCTCATAAGGTTCTGGATGGGGCTCAGGATTCCACCTAAGGTCCTATACTCTGCAAAGACTCCACAAGAGGCCTATTTCACTGGTCAAGTTCTAGAACCCCTTTTAGGTATTCCAGTCAGTTATAGGCTGAAGACAGGCTTACAAGTTTTCTGTAATCATGTTTCCCGGCATTCCTTTCCATCCCACTCAAGTGTCTATTTTACAATAGTAGGCAAGGGAAACTAATCTTCATAAGACAGTCAAGCACCTTGGTAGTATTTCCCCTCTTCAAATTATGCCTTGATCCCTGTATCACAGAGCCATGTTGTTCCAAGGTTGAGACTGCATCACTGTTTACCTCTGTCCAACTTAGTCCATGCAAACCTGTCTAAGTGTTCCCCTATCTACCTTGTTCTTCCACCTCCTCCCCATTCTTGTGTTGCCCTCACTAACACCCAAACAATGATGTGTCTGCACTCACCCTGTACTCTACTGTCACCTCCCTTCACCTCCCCCTAAATCCCTCACCCAAACCCCACCATTGTGGTTGCCTTATATTCCATTAACTTTTCCCTCCATTTAAGACATTCTATTTTATCCTGTAATCTACTTGACCTTCTCACCACTTGGATTTCTGTTCCTCTGTGTTTACCTTCTTTCACATTTTTTATCATAGGCTGACCTCCCAGAACCTCTGAATTTGTTCTTATAGTTTTATTCTATTCTTGACTCTCCCATTTGTTGATTGAGTTCTGGGTGATGCTGCCACATACGTCAATCTCTGGATGTTGTCTGTCTGCTCTTGTTGGTTCTCAGTCCACAGAACTCCCTTTAGGATGTTTTTCATCACAGCGTTGGCTTTGGCAAAATCCCGTAGCTTCTGTTTATCCTGGAATGTTTGATTACACCATTGTATTTGGTTGATAGCTTTGCTGGGTAGAAGATTCTTGTTGGCAATTGTTGTTTTTTTTCTTTCAGGATTTTATATATGTCACCCCATTGCCTTCTTGCCTGCATGGTTTCTGTTGAGAGATCTCAACTTAATCTGATTTGCTTGCCTTTGTATGTTACACTTCTCTTTTCCCCAGCTGCTTTCGGAATTATGTTCTTATCTTTGATTTTGGAGAGCTTGATTATTATATGTCTTGGTAGTTTTCTTTTAAGGCCTATCCTTCCTGGAGTTCATTGACCTTCTTGAATGCTTATCTTTTCACTTTTCAGGATATTAGAGAAATTTTCTCCCAGCAGTTCTTCAACTATCTCCTTTGTGGACTTGTGTGATTCTTCCTGTTCTGGAATGCCGATAATTCTTACGTTATTCCTCTTCATGTTGTCCAACATGAATCTTAGAACTTCTTCATATTTTTTTTAACCTTTTTTCTGCTTGTTCTTCATCTTAGTAATATTGAGAGATTTACTTCCAGCTCACCAGTTCTGGTTTCCATCTCTTCAATTCTACTCCTTTGCCCTTTCAGTGTATTGTCCATTTGTGATATCCTATTATTAATTGTTTGGATCTCTTTCTGTAGGTTTAGAATAGATCAATGATGTATCTATCTTATTTGATTGTTCCTGTAGTGCTTTCCTGACTTCTTCCTTATTTTTCTCAACTCCATTGTATAGTGTTTTGGTACATTTTTATAATCATT